TTAATAAAAATTTAATTTAAAATTTAAAAATTCATTTTAATAAATGTTAATACCTAAATTTGGAAATTGATAATTGATCTCAAAATTTAGGTATCAACATTTAATATATAATTGGTTTATAAATTTATGTATTAACATTTAATATATAACTAGTTCCCAAATTTAGGTATCAACATTTAATAGAGTGAGATTTTGATTTCTAAATGTAAATTTTAACTCTATTTTTTTTTTAAGGTTGAAATTGATACGCACTAATCTTTTATATACATATATTTTTTTAACTCAACTCATTTAGTACAAGTTAAATTATAGATCTAAGTTGTCAATTCAAATTATGATATAATCTCAACCAAAATTATTAAGATATAATATAATTAATTTTTAAATTTAAATATCAACATTTACTAAGATCAATTTTTAAATTTTGAATTAAACTTTAATTAATAAAATGACAGTTTTTTAAAAAATTAAATCACCGAACTCAATTTAAAATCCACACGAGTGGATTATGAATCAATTTCTTTAACTCAAAATTTAAAATAAGCTAAACTCAATATGTTTAAAATTTGAAATGGCCCAATCCGAGACTCGGTTGAAATCGTAGGGAAAATCATTGTGTTTGGATATGTATTCGGTGCATTTGAATTGGGCCTGAGAATGCACAAATATTGGCGGTTGGCCCAGATGAGAGTGGATCGAATGCTAATACTCATGTCATGACCATGGGTGTCTGTTTTTGTTTTATCGCGCTCAGTTGCATAATGGCATTGTTGTGCTCTGGTATTCGATTATATATTTTTATTTTATCCAAATTTCACGCCTTTCTCCGTGGTATTTCCGGGGCGTTCGTGGTTGTTCGAGTGCTGAGTGCACCCCCTTCGGCCTCTGGATATGGGTCTACTCTGTTCTTTTGTTCCAGTTGTTCTTACTGTTTGTTATCTTTGTAGATGCCGTATGGCGGTTTGTAATGAATCCATTCCATTATCCTCAAAAAAAAAAATTTCACGCCTTTCTGTCCTCTGATTTACGTCAAGTGGCGCTTACAAGTAAAAACCAAAAGCCCAGCCCAGTTGATAGGCCAGAATTATGTCCTAAACACTTTCCAAGTAAAAACCGAAGACAAAAGTAGTACTACGTTAGAGACAACAACATGAAATCAGAGAGAAAAAAATTTTAAAAAGAGATAGACTACTTGTCACGTCATGTCATGTAAAAAAATAAAAAATAAAATAAAAACAAAAATTAAAATAGCACGATCTAGGCCTGGCAAAATTTAAGAATGCCATCTGCAGTGCAATCATTCAAATTCATTATAAAACTAAAATGCCCAAATCTTTTATACTTC